CAGGTTTATTTGATACAAAAAAAAAAGAAGATCAAGAAAGTAATAGAATTCTTCTTTTTGGTAACTTAACAAACAGAACGAAGTAAATGGCAAAACAACAGTTTTTTAAAAGCTATTGAATTCAACTGTTGTTAAATTGAAAATCTTTTGCTACTTTACAGTACAACACCCGTCAAAAAATGAAATAATAAAGTTTTTTTGATCACTCAAAAATGTACAAAATTTGCTGACAAAAACTGTTGATTTTGCTTGATATTTATAATTTATTAACACCGTTGTTTTACCGTATTCAACAATTGAATAATCACAAGATAAAAACTTTGACCAACATTGATAAACTGATAATATTACAACATTACAACAGATAATCTTCCTCTGTTTTTCTCAGATACTTTTATCTATTTCAATTTCATATTTTTACTGTTTTGATCAGCTATAAAATGACTACAATGACAGTCGGTAAGCAGAAGTGTACAATAACAAAAGCAAAAATTTATAAACTACAATTTTTTTTTGCAACTGTCTAAAAAATGTATGACTTCTATAACCTCTAAAGCTATCAAACTAGCTAAAAAAATCTAGCTAGAAGCCAGGTTTTAAGTTTAGTCAAAAATACTACACAAAAAATGTACAGTTAGATTTACAGCTTATATGCAAAAAAAACTGAAATTTTTGACAGTAAGTCGGCAATCACTGTTTCAGTTCTTAATATTTCTCATTTAAACCTTTTTTTTTTTGGCTAAAGAAATAGTGAAAAAAAATAAGCGAAAACTTTTTTTTTGCATTAGTGTTTCCAGAAAGAAATTCTCAAGCAAACTTTAAGAAACGTCAAAAAAAGTTTGCTTACTCTTTCTTAAAAGATACATATATAGAAATCTCTAATGAAGGCACAAAATTTCAATAACTGAGTTAAAACAATTTTTCTTGGAAAAATGCCAACAAAATATAAAAATTATCATAAGTGATAACTTTATGTGTATACTGTATAGAAACAGAAATAGGAAAAAAATTGTCCCGTATTTGAGCATTTATATGATCAAAACAAAAAAAAAGTTGAGGAATTCTTTAAAAAATTCGTACAATACAGCAAAACAGTAAGACTGCCAACTGCAGTCGTTGACCTGTTGTCAGCCGATTGTCGATGGCAGCAGAAACACCTGCAGAACGTCGAGCCGAATCAACATCAACATTGCAGAAGTCTTCTTCGCATAACCACTGCTCCAATCCCATAATGTTCTGATAACCTTTCTGAAACTGGTAGTTTACAGATCAGATACCTTGACCAGCAATGAAACATTTCAGATTCAACTTTTTCTTCTTTGTCTAATTAACTTCAAAAAAATAATAATTTTTTTCAACAATTTTGCAAAAAAAATCCTAATTTTCTAAAAAATCTGATGTTTACAGCTCTTTTAGCAATAATTCGAAATATTTTCAAACTTTACTGAATTTTTTAGCTAATATATTTTATAATAAAACGTCAGATGAATTATTCGTAAAGGACAAAAAACCTTTTCTAAAGATTTTTCCTAAATTCCTAAGATTTTCGATTTTAAATGGCAAATGTGTGAATTTTTTTTCTGCACAACATTATAGTTCTATTCTCCTGCCTAAATAAGTTTATTTGCAACAAAATTAGATAAATTCAATCGTCCAACTCTTTTCTTTGCCGATAAATCTTTAGAAGTCACTTTAATTTTCTTGCAAGTTTTCGCTACTTTCTGCTTAGCTTACTAGTCAAAATGGAAAGATCTTTGAACTGTTTATTGACTATTTTTTCCTTTTTTCACTACTTTCCATCTCCTCACTTTTAGCCTTCGTTTCTTTGAACAAGTGAAACTTGACAACTATAATAGTTTAACATCAAAACGGTTCTGAGTTGCGCAAAATTATAGTAATGTATTCAACTCTTAATAAATTATCAACAAAATTTTAGTTAAACTACAGCTACTACTCAAACAAACAGAATCCTCATCTTTTTTTGCCTTTTAGTATACATTGAGCTAATCGTATTTTGTATGATCTCTCTTGATCAAAAAAATAATAATAATGAGAAAATTGTCAAAAAATATAAAGGGTTTTCTTCGTCGAAACTCCATTATAAAAAATAGTAGAAAACCAAAAAGACAAAATTATTACAAGAGCTTTGCTGTTTACAAGAGAATAGCTCAGAGTGCTATTGAATTTGAGCTGCTGTCGTCTGACTTTTAAAAAAAAACATTAGAAACAGTAAAAAAATTATCTTCTTTTTTGACCTCGAACTTAAAGTTGTGGTTTGATTCGCTGACGCTGAGGCAACCTTTGGCTACTCGATGTTCAAAAAAAGGCGGATAGGTTTGCTGAATAAAGCAGAAGTGACCAGTGCATTCGCCTTCTGCAGATTCTAAAGACGAATCGTAAACAACACACTTAACGTTACCACGTGTAACACTGTACAACGGTTTATCGTTACAACCGTCCTGAAACCAAAAAATGTGCCCTGTCTAACGAAGAGGATAATCACTGAAGTAAGAACTGTCACAACAGAAACTAAAACTCGAGTGATTATCTTCCGGTCAATCTCGAAAAAAAAAAATCGAACTTAAACTTAAAAAAAATTTTTAATAAAAAAGCAATAAAGGTTCCTTTGTATAGTTTTATTAAAAGCATAAAAGTAATATTTAAGAATAAACTAAATAGAGATTGTTGAATAAAATAGTTGGTCAAACGGTGGCTAATAGCACTTTACCTCATTGCACATACACCTAAGAAGTGGATGTCCAGCTTCAGTTTCAACTATAGAGCACTCGCCTGGGAACATCGCTGGCGTAGCCCAACTTGGAAAAAGGTCAATGTCAAATAAGTACTCTGATGGTTCACCGCAACTTGAAAATTTTGTTACCGTCGAATTTCCATCATCACCCTCATCCTGTAGGATTTATGATTCAAATAAAGTTGAGTGAAAAAAATTCCGGGTTTAGCCTTCAGCTTTCAAACTGCACAAAACAGAACAAAATTTATCAAATGCTAGAGAGAACTACTAAAAACAAGCTTTAAAACGTTTAGAAATTTGAAAGCTTTGTAAAGCTTCAGATACTGACGTAAATCTAAAAGACATTTCTACAACATTCCTTTATCAAGATCTCATACAATAGCTTTAGATGCGTTTTTTGTACTTTCTTGTCAAGTTTTTCAAATTTTAAAAGAAACGAAAGATATTCTAAGCATTAAAACATACCATAGATTCTTCATAGAAGCAGTAGTTTGCTTCACATTTTTCTAACCTATTTTCGTCAGTTTCGTCGCTACGATAACATTCCAAATTTGGCAAATTTATTGCAACCATTTGTTCCAACTTTTCTCGCCAAGCGATATCGTTACATTCATGAAAATCCCTATGACAAATTTTATCACTGTATTACACATGTATAATTAAAAAATATGATTATCTAATCAGTACTTTAGCTAATTCTGATTATCAAGAATTACTGGTCAAAAATTTACAAGTGAAATAAAATTAGAAAAATGAAAACAAAATGTTCACAGAATGTGTTCAGAAGTAGAACTTTCAAAAACTGTTATTGACATGCCAACCTTTCATTTTTTTATTCAATAACGAGTAAATAACTGTAAAAATTATTATTTAAAAAAAGTTTTTCAATTTTTTTACAAGATAAATTAACTAATATTCAAAAACTAACCTACATAAACACATCGTTGCTCCGGCTTTATTCTGACGACATCCCATTTTTACATCTGATAAATTCATGCCGGATATACAGCTCTGAAACTGTTCTTTCAATTTAATACAATACAAAAAAAAAATGCTGAAAAAAAGACAAAAAAAAACTGTTTATATTTTTTGCATTTGAGAATCAATCTATTCTTTGTTCTTTTTTCTAGTGATTAGCCAACAGTAACAACAAATTTTTGGTTCAAAAACGTTATCACTTTTACATATCAACAACTATATAAATCCATGTCTCAAAAAGCTAAAATTATTCAAGTCATATTTTTATTTTAGGACTAACACCTTTAAAAGCGGACAAATATATATATATTTTTTACAACTAAGTAAAATTTTCTTCGTTTTGCTACTGTTCTGTTTGACAATAGAGACGTTAAAAAAGAAGAAGAACTTTTTCTCATATTCTATCTGAAATTTTTACATCTTACAACTAACCAACGAAAAATTGCATTAATAACTTCTGTTTGTTCGACTACAGAACGTCTTTTACAAATACTTACATCTAAAAATTGTCATACGTTGCGTACAAATTTTATCGTTTCATATTACTACTATTTTAGATGACTGAAAATCAAATGACTGAAAGATCAGTAGTTGAATAGATTTTATTTCAAATAAACAAGTGAAAATAAAAAAAGCATTATTTAAAAAAGTTAATTATACTTTTCTCTTGAATGTTCCGGTAATATCATTGATCATTTATCGCTTATGAATTAATAACACTATAGATTTGTGCTAAATATGTATGCTGATGATTAATAGATATTTAACACTATATGTAGCTGTTAAATTTGATCTATCATTTCGAGGGGGTACGATAAATAAAATGCACATCAAAAATAATCATCAAAAAGTATATCTAACTGAACTATGGTTTTACTATCTTTATTTCTTGATTTTAAATCCAGTATTCAATAGTACCGAGCATTGCTCAAACATTTGTTAAAATCTGAGCTGACTAAACAAAAAGCATCGATGAATGGTTATATCTATAAAATAAACCGTTAGACATTACTCTTATGCTGTTGCCTAAGTCTTTCTTTACCTTTGATGAAACTTATTCCTTTACTGTACAATATCAACTATATTTCCCATAACTTTTTTTTTTTGGTTTTCGATAATTTACTGCAAATATCTTTGATGTTGAACAATTTTTAAACTTCATAATTTTATTTAAAATTTTCTTATCATACATTCAAGATTTTCAAAATAATTCTTTTTTTTTTTGTTTACTTCTTCTTCTTCGTTTTTCAGTACTAAGAATATGAATCGTTTAGGCCTAAGCCGTTTCCAGCAAAAAAAAATTGACACAAAAATGCGTATTTCTTGATTAGTGCTATTTGTACAAAAACGTTTACTAAACAAATATAATCAAAAAAAATTTTCTTACATTTATTTTAAATTCTGCTAAATTACTGCCATATGGCATCTGTGGTATCAATTATTGCTATAATTCAAAGCAAAGCAAAAAAAAAAAGAAAAGCAGACAAAATTTCAGATAATCTTTTTTTTTTTTTTTTTTGAAATTGTGGTAATCATCTGATAAAAATAATGTTTTTACCTCATAAATGTTAACAAGTCCATTTTTTCTCCATTGAACAATTCCACATACGTCACCTTCACAGTCTGTGTGACAACTGTAAAATGATCTTGTTTTTTTTTTTTTAATTGAAAATTAAGATTATGACTGATCAGTAAAAATAAATGCCTTGATAATTGTTGCAGATATAATAATTTACAGCACATACAATAAATGTAATTTATCAAACAGAAAAAAAAGAAAGGAAAAAATATTAAAGGGGGCTAAATAGGCCTATAAATATATATTGAAAAAAAAAAGCAGTAAACGAAGTCAACTGAATGATCAAATGAATTTGCAAATTAATAATTTATTTTCTACTACAAAATAAGTCATTGCTTCTTTTTTACTTTTTTATACCTTTCCAAATCAGTCTTATGCTTGAACACTTTTAAGCAGCAGAAAAAAAAAAAAGAAAGACGAGAAAAGAAACTTTAAGCAGGGAGAAAAAAAAAAAAAGTAGAGAGTTGAAAAAAATTTACGAACAACTGAAATGATCACAGTTAAATTTGCTGATATAAAGGAATGACAGGAAATGACATACTCAGTTGCAAATCCATTACTGCTGGCCCGTTGAACACGTGTACAATTACGGCAGTACAGTTGTTGATTACTACGTATCAGAAGGCATGAGACAATTATTATCCACAGTACTGCGTATGATAATTGTAAAACACCGTTTCCCATACCGTTAACTGCATTCAACCTAAAAAAAAAAAATACGCTAAATTTTATCATCTACAAAACGGATAAAAATTTTGCATAACCATAAACAAACTTTCGACGACGACGACGAAACAGTTGTGTCAAAAATAGGATGGTTTATAAACGACAATCTATA